GTGGCATCATAGTACTTTAAATGTATGGGGTAAACAGGGTCATAGTGTGGGCCTTCTTGACGGGGGTCATGCTGAACTGCTGGCTAAGAAGACACCCACCTTTCCAAAGCTGCTCAGCAAAGTTCACTGGGCAATTATTAGCATGAACAAGTCACCTTCATCTTAAGTGACACTTTGCTAACCAAGAGGCGATTTTGTTTGAAATTAAAATAAACATGGGGATTTGGGGGGGGGGAGAAATGTAGAGCACCGTGTTGCGTCTCCAAAGGTGTACATAAAACAATTTCACGCAAGGACAGCCAAGCACAACAGAAATGGGCACAGCTAAGGGAAACGGCATTACTAAGATGTACTAAAGGGACAGCTACAGCCTCTCCTTCTAGCCTAGGTGGCAGCTCCTTCACACACATTTGCCCTAGTTTCCCATTCCTGCAACAGGCTTCTCAGATCTAATGCCAGTATAAAGTTTAATCAGTTAGGATTTGTTATGCATCAGTTATCAAAAACTGTACAATCTTATTGCGGGAGATTAACAGCCAAACCGAACAAGTGCATATTCTTCCTAGTTATCATGAGAAGGGGCCAGTACCACAGAGTACTGCTGAGAGGCAAATACTCAGACCATAGAAATGCCATTGGTAGAGTGAGCTCTGTATGATGTCATTTCCCCTCCTCTCCCAGAGAGGAAGAAGCATATAGTGTGTTCCTTTCTTTCCCTTCCTGTGACCAGGGTTGGATACAGACCTGCCTCCGCTTGCTCCAGCTTGAAGCTGGTTATACTGTAAATGTGTTTTGCCTGCATGGTTTTCGCTGCTGCCATTGCTATGAACCAGTGCAAGATAATAAGTAAATTATATTTTTAAGCTTACTTCCCAAGCTGTTGCCAAGCAGAATATGAAAGGGAGAGCCAGCTACTACAGAGCTGGACTTGCTCAAAACAAGTCTAATTCTTATGCTTTAAATTTTGCTGCCAAGGATGGGATTTTGAAACTTTGTTCTACCCACACATGTGGGCATCAGAAGATATAAATTGCAATTCATATATCCTCTCCTACCCATTAAATCCATCACACACTTATTACACACATACAAAATCTAAGGAAATTGGTTTTTTAAACTGCAGTTAAAAGTTTTCCCCTGTTCTATCATATCACTGCCTGTTTGTAGCTACCGTAAAATATCTCATAGCAGACCTGTGTCTGGAGCTTAAGTTGACATTAATTCATTCATTCAGTGAATGAATAGGTACCATATGTACTCTGAAATCTGGACAGGGATGTAGGATCTACCTTTATTTTTAACAGAACTCTTTAACTGCTCCACACCAGTCAACTAACAGAAACCCAGCAGCGCTACACAACCTTAAGCAGCTGTTCGTAATGGAAGTTCCCTGCACCATTGAGACAGTAATGGCACTGCTGGCTCCATTATAACATCTTTTAGCAGGGAAATTCAGCGGAGGTGAGGCAGCCCCTCTCTTCCACCTGGAGCTCCCTGTCCATGCATTGTCAGAACAGATGGTGCTGGACCGATGTGGATGGTAAGACACATACAAAAACCCTCCAAACCTCTCCTCTTATACCTCGAACAAGAAGGCACAGCTCAGTCATGGAACATACAGTATGTGCTTGAGGCATACGATCCCAAGTTAAAAAGAGAAACCATCTGTAAAAGGCCTTTTTTAAGAAGTGTATTGGGTTAACAAAATTCATTTCTCTGGAGAGGAGCTGCTATTCAAAGCAGACCATTGTATTCTGTCAGACAGGCCAATGGTCTGAGAAGGCAGCTTCCTCTATGTTCAGTTTGACTGGCAAAAGACCAGTCAAAATATTGTAATTAGCATAATGACTAGTATCAATGTTGATGCATTCTTAAGAAGCCTTCAAAAGATCAAAGCACAGAAGATTTTAAAGCTTCAGTGGGTCATACTTTTATAACGTATTATGATTTGAATCTGACTCTGCTGTGATGAGAGGCAGTTCGGCACTGTGGGCAGCCAGGGTCAACCTAATGTCCTTCTGATTAAAAGCCGCCTTTCTTGGGAAGAAAGCACAGGGCACCTCCTTATTGCCACTGAAACGCAAACTGCTTAGCGGTGAACTGCGTGTTCAACACGAACCATTTGCAATCCCCACACAATTAATCCTAGCTCATCAGGGCACGGGCAGAATAATTACAGTATAGGCAGCACCAAACCCATTTAAGAACTTATTCCACAGGGCTGTAATTATAGCCTGTCCCTAATCCTTTAATTGCCACCAGCATTTGATGTGTTGCGGGCGAGACCACAGGATAAATGGGGGTGGAAGGGTCTCAGCATAGTCCAAGGCACCAAGCAGAGCAAGTAGTTGCCTGGTAAAAAGAACGTATGACAGCCAGACTAGACAAAATGTGTATTTGCCTATAACATGGGTGCTGGTGGTCTCTTTTTATAAAATGCAAACAGCAACCACTGAGGATGGCAGTCAATAATTATCAGGGGGTTAACCCTTTCCTCCTTGATACAGTCCTGATTAAAATTGCTCCTCAGTAGCTGCTATTTGCAATGGGAGGGAAATCCCCCCCCCATTGCTATCAACAGGAGTTTGCATGGCAAGATTATCTTTCTCCGATCCCCGCTTACATTCTGCAGCCCTTTGTGCAATAGCCCAAATGGTCCCCAATGCTCAATAGGAGTTTTTGGGTGGCGGGTATGGGAAGCTGCAGTGGGTGGGACATGCTTTGTGCTAGCGCAAAGCTGGCGCTAGAAATGGACGTGTTCCCCCTCTTGTAATATTGTTATTTCTGCAGGTATGGCTAGCGTGGTACTGCTTGTAAGATGCATTGGAATGGGGCTTCCATAGCCAGAGGCACTATAACTCTGTATAAGAGAAGCTGGGGGCATACCATGGAGAAGGGCTTTTGCTTTCATACCCTATTTGTAGGGGTATGAAGAGGCATTTTGACTGACCGTAGCTGGAAACAGAATACAGTGGTACCTCTGGTTAAGAACTTAATTCGTTCTGGAGGTCCGTTGTATTTTAATATTTTGTTGGAAGGCGCCCAGAGTGGCTGGGAAAACCCAGCCAGATGGGCGGGGTATAAATAATAAATTATTATTATTATTATAACCCCAAACTGTTCTTTACCTGAGGTACCACTTTAGCCACCGTGCAATTTCTGTTCTCATCCTGAAGCAAAGTTCTTAACCCGAGGTACTATTTCTGGGTTAGTTGAGTCTGTAACCTGAAGCGTCTGTAACCCGAGGTACCACTGTACTGGGCTACTGGGCTTTGTCTGGCACAACAGGGGAGCACATATATATTCAAAAGCAAAAGATGACAACTGGAGCACAAACAGTATGTGTACAGTATTTCAGTGTCTATCTTTATTATCCTTCTGAGGCAGAAAAGGGAGGATATTCCCAATGGATACTTAAAGTCCAGCACACCTTCATACATTTTGCCTTATGATTGTCCAGGTATCTTTAGGTGATTTCCCATAAATGCTGACTGAAATAGAGACTGCAGGGCAACTTCTATGCTCTCTTCAGATTCCTGCCAATTCCCCATCCGGTCACAATAAGGACTCCACAAGCAATTTCCACGGAAATACACCTTTTATGGAGGGGGAAAGAAACTGTGATATATATATATTACTGCAATTCGGTTACACTCCTGGGACTCAGCTGTACAGCTACAAATAAAATGTTTTAAGTGTGTTTTAAGTGCAATATACAATGTGACTGTGGGGGTGCAATAGAAAAATAAGCACCCTTGTGCAAGATTGTGCAAGAGGAAACATCTGTTGACTCTGTTGACTTGTTCCCCCCACACGCCTGGGTCACTGTCGCTGCCTAACCGCAAGGCTGTCATGCTGTCTGGAGTTATGTCCTGGTAGAGAATAGTTATTCTAAGAAATGCAAACCCTAGCTGTTTTCCACCCGAGTGCTACACGTGTATATGCAACATGATGTAATGTGCGCAAGGCTAATAAACATGCAAGGCTGCTGGGGGACAGAGCTCACTCCTTGCTTAAACCTTCACCCATGACTCTTCGTTATTTTCCTCCGCACCTGGTGGGCTGGTTCCCCGACATGTGACATTAAATGGCGATGGGGAGCCTTATGGAAAATTCAATGTATTTTTTATTTAAAAAATTGAAAAAGCATTTTCAGAACGGTTTTTATATGTGTGTAGATTCCACCTTGCTTTAAGTACCGAAGAGCAGAACTGCAAGTTTGCACAAAACTGAAATCTAGAAAAAAAAATCAGAGTACAGTACTGATTTTTGGATTTTGAAGCTCTGTTAAATGATACTACTTTCTAGCTTGGTAATAATGCTACATTGTTAATACAACTGAAAAACAGTGCTGTTCTTTGTGTCATACACCAAGTACTGTATCCTTTTAGAATGACTCTTCCTTGCCTGTTATCTCCACATCCTGTATTTTTCATTTGGTTCTTTTTTCACAGTTGTGCTTTTTTAGGTATTCTACTGGAGATTATTTTAGGCTATCCTCTAAAATAATAGCTCTACGCGGGGCTGCCCTTGAAGGTGTCCCAGAAACTCCAGCGGGTGCAGAATGCTGCAGCGAGGCTCCTCACGGGGTCTCTGCCATGGGAGCATATTCACCCAGTGCTTTTCCAGCTGCATTGGCTCCCGGTGGAGTACAGGGTCAGATTTAAGGTGCTGGTTTTGACCTTTAAAGCCCTTCATGGCCTAGGACCCTCGTACCTACAGGACCGCCTCTCCTGGTATGCCCCATGGAGAGCCTCAAAGTCCATAAATAGCAACACCCTAGTGGTCCCGGGCCCTAAGGAAGTTAGATTGGCTTCAGCCAGAGCCAGGGCCTTTTCAACTCTGGCTCCGGCTTGGTGGAACGCTCTGCCTCATGAGACCAGGGCCCTGCAGGATCTGATTTCTTTCCACAGGGCCTGTAAGACAGAGTTGTTCCACCTGGCCTTTGGCTTGGAGCCAATTTGATTCCCTCCCCCTCTTTCTTTTTTCTTTTCCTTTCTCCTCCTGCGACAAGGATACATTTTAATATTTTAATGTTTCAATATATTAATGTTGTATTTTAATTTTGTTTTTAAGTTGTATTCATTCAACTTATTTTTATTATTGCTTGTTAGCCGCCCTGAGCCCGGCCTTGGCTGGGGAGGGCGGGGTATAAATAAAAATTATTATTATTAAAATGTTTGCAGTTTTTCTCAGTTTTGTGTCACCAGCTAATTTGCTAAGTGTTATATCCCCTCCCCTCAGCAAGCTCACTAATGAAGATACCGATACTTAAGAACTCCACCCTGACCAGACTATTGCTGATTACTTCTTTCCAGTTTGGTGTCAAGCTTTTACTACCTATTGAAAATATGTTTTCAACCAAATGTACATGTAGATTGTTGTTTTTATGCAGTCTACCTTTCCCAAACTGTGCTACAAGAGTATCAAAAGTGTTTTTTGAAGTTTTTGACTGCTTCGCTTTGCTCCCACAAAACTCCTCTTCCCTTCCCTTGCCCTTCCACGAAGCCCTTAACAAAAAAGCGTTAAAACAAATTCTGGTCAAGAAGAAAAATCGACATCACTGGTCACAGCCGTACCAGACTGTATTACTTCATTTCACAGCAACTCCGACATTATGTAATGCTTTTCAATTAAGCAGAAGATTATACATTCCTGCTTCCATCCCTTTCCCTAGTGGTTTTGAGTAAGCTTTTCGCTCTGGCATCTTCAGACACTCGTTTGGCAGAACTGTGTTTTTTTTCCAGATGAGAGAGAACAGCATGATCATAAAGAATGAATTATTTACAGGAAGATCAGCACTTCAAGTCACGTCAAGGCTTTGCTAATTGTATTTAATTGAAAGTTCCATGGCGAGACATATGCACAATGTTCTTCAGATTTATAACAAGGAAACCCAAGACTTATTAAACATTTACTAGTGAGACAACCCAATGGATAGGCTGGTGGGATGGAAAGCCAACCACCTCGAATTAACAATTAAAAAAAAAATTTGAGCTCAAATTCGTTGACAATAAACTATTTGGTGGTCAGGAGTTTGCATTCTTTTACGATTGTACATTAGACACAATGGGTTAGCTCCTGACCAAGTTGGTTGCATTTAGTGCCTACTGAAATCAATGCAACTTTCTACATTGATTTCCATGGGAACTAAGTGCAATGAAGTCAGGATCTCATCAAGAATATATGCGTTGGATGTGTTAACCAAGAACGCAGTGGATGTAGCCTACCTTGATTTCAGCAAGGCATTTGACAAGGTGCCCCATGATATTCTTGTAAAGAAGCTGGTAAAATGCGGTCTCGACTATGCTACCACTCAGTGGATTTGTAACTGGCTGACTGACCGAACCCAAAGGGTGCTCATCAATGGTTCCTCTTCATCCTGGAGAAGAGTGACTAGTGGGGTGCCACAGGGTTCTGTCTTGGGCCCGGTCTTATTCAACATCTTTATCAACGACTTGGATGATGGACTCAAGGGCATCCTGATCAAATTTGCAGATGACACCAAACTGGGAGGGGTGGCTAACACCCCAGAGGACAGGATCACACTTCAAAACGACCTTGACAGATTAGAGAACTGGGCCAAAACAAACAAGATGAATTTTAACAGGGAGAAATGTAAAGTATTGCACTTGGGCAAAAAAAATGAGAGGCACAAATACAAGATGGTGACACCTGGCTTGAGAGCAGTACATGTGAAAAGGATCTAGGAGTCTTGGTTGACCACAAACTTGACATGAGCCAACAGTGTGACGCGGCAGCTAAAAAAGCCAATGCAATTCTGGGCCTCATCAATAGGAGTATAGCATCTAGATCAAGGGAAGTAATAGTGCCACTGTATTCTGCTCTGGTCAGACCTCACCTGGAGTACTGTGTCCAGTTCTGGGCACCACAGTTCAAGAAGGACACTGACAAACTGGAACGTGTCCAGAGGAGGGCAACCAAAATGGTCAAAGGCCTGGAAACGATGCCTTATGAGGAACGGCTAAGGGAGCTGGGCATGTTTAGCCTGGAGAAGAGGAGGTTAAGGGGTGATATGATAGCCATGTTCAAATATATAAAAGGATGTCACATAGAGGAGGGAGAAAGGTTGTTTTCTGCTGCTCCAGAGAAGCGGACACGGAGCAATGGATCCAAACTACAAGAAAGAAGATTCCACCTAAACATTAGGAAGAACTTCCTGACAGTAAGAGCTGTTCGACAGTGGAATTTGCTGCCAAGGAGTGTGGTGGAGTCTCCTTCTTTGGAGGTCTTTAAGCAGAGGCTTGACAACCATATGTCAGGAGTGCTCTGATGGTGTTTCCTGCTTGGCAGGGGGTTGGACTCGATGGCCCTTGTGGTCTCTTCCAACTCAAATATTCTATGATTCTATGACACCAATTCACCTGAGATTTGATGGGCAAATGCAGGTAATCTCTTCTAACATTGGACAGGATTTCAAAGCTCCAACAACTTGGACTTCATAACTTTTCCTGAATTCTTATGGCTGTCACTGAATGTCTTCAGCCCATGTTTTATGAAGAAAATACTTGTATAATTCCCGCAACAAAGGTTATTTGCTTGCTTCTTGCATATGACCAGAGAAAGACCCAAGGAGGAGCTCTGGAGGTTTACCACCTTTCACATAATCCCCACATTTGTGCATAAATATACAATAAAAGGCAGTGGGGAGAGCAGGCTTATTTACAGTCATTTGCACTCAGTGGTTCCTTCTGACCACACAACCCAATTTTCCCTGATCCCTGTACCTACTGCAGACCTTTTTGCAATATCCAGAACTATTCCAGAGGGTCCCCTAACCCTCAGCATCAACTTTTTGGGTGTGGCAATTAAGTGGGTAGGAGGGACCAGCAAAAATAGTGGGGGGAGGGGCGCTCCTTGCATGAGTGGAATATGCTTTCTGCTACTGATTACAACCCACTATGTCAAAGTGCCAACCTGAGGTTATGTCTTTACTTCAATATAGCAGCGCCAACCAACTAAATCTTCTACATTCTTCTACTGCTACTGTTGGTACACGATATGAGTGGGACTGATCTATTTACAGTCATAAAGCTTATATCTGCGACCCCCGGGCATGCTCTTTCCCAAACGTATAGGGACAAACTAGCCCATTCTTGAGCAAATGTGGAATTTCCCAGAAATGGAACCTTCAACAAGAAGCAATTTAACCACAAGAACAGTTATCTGTGTGACCATGTTCACAGCTTTTATTTGATCAGTAGCCAACTACTACTCACTAGTCCCCAAATAAAATAAAAAAAACACAAATTAAATAAATAGCAGTAATAAATCTCATACATTACTTTCGGAGGCTTAAAAATTCATCTCACTCACATAAAAAGCAGTACCATTTTCAAAAACACACTTACATACTCATAGAGAGCCTTCTTGCTTCACCAAGGCATTCCACTCTATGCCTCAACCAGAAAGCGGCATCGCTCCCACAATCCTCATGCATCGCTAGTTCTTTGTGCTCACTCAGAAAACCCACCTGATAATTGTCGTAAAATACAAAATTCTCCAAAATAAAACATTTGTATTGCAAGGTTACAGTACTTTTAATTTTTCTACAAACTAAGGCCCCATTTTACAATCTCATCTGTTCAGGGAAGACCATGAAGTCTCAAGAGGACCCACTGAAATTGAAGGGGTAATTTTCAAGCATAAAATCTCCTCCTTACATATTGGGCTGCAGGGCTGAGATCAATGCAGGAAACTTTTGAGCACTCTTCCCTGTTCCAGAAGTTTTAAAGCAATTTTGGCTTTTTTTTTTCTTGGCCTCTGTTTATCCCTGCAATTCCTGTTTCCACCATCTTCCAAACAGGAGCTGCCCCTTATGTCTAGAAGCTAATGCTGAGGAGAGTCTCAAATCGTCAGCATACGTGTGACTTTTGTTCAAAAGGTTCTGGGTTGTCCATTTCATTGCAATGATTGATTCCACTGCACACGGTAGGACTGAAGTCTTCCTCCCCAAGGCAAGTGAACATTGACACTTGTGTTCTGATATTTACACAAAGTGCTTTCTTCTCCTCGCCAGCAAAAGGATCTCCATTAGACACAAGAGCAGGCACCACCATACAACGAGAATTAAGACATAACTCCAAAGACAGGATTGTGGCGGCAAATACCAGGACCGTATTCCTCATAATCTTTCTTGGTGTGACATACTTCAAAGAACTCTGACTGAGAAAACAAACAGAGAAAGTGAGGTGCATATGAAGAAGCAAACAAACCAAGATTAATAACAAAGCATACTACAAAGCAAGTACGAAACAAGTGTGGTAAGTGCAAAAGAAGGTTAATCAATGTACAGTGGAACCTCGCTTTTGGAGCGTCTCGGAAGCCGGGTGGGTCGGAACCCGAACGCCGAAAACTCAGAAGTGAATGCTTCCATTTCCAAACATGCCTTGGAAGTCGGACGGCTTCTGAGGCACGTTTCTCCATTTTCTCCATTTAAATTGCTGACCGCCCATTGTATCTCGGTTGTCGAACGTTTCGGAAGTCGAACCTCTTCCGGAACGGATTATGTTCAACAACCAAGGTTCCACTGTACTCTAATTGCCCTCTTGGATGTTGGATTGGAAACAGTGATAGTAGCAGAGAGATTGGACTTCAGAAACAACAGTGGCCAATTGTCTTGGTTTCAGGCATACATATACACAAACACTCCAAAATGCATTGCGACCCTCAACAGTAATTATTATTACTTAATAATACAATACAATTCAGGAGAGGTCAAGGCATACCTTCCTACAATTCACCACAAATTATGCCATAATGAGTAAATATGAATGTAAAATTTCAGATCTAGCCTGCAAAATTAAACAAAACAGAAAATAAAAAGTGGTGCCCTCCCAACGTTTTTGGAGTAAAACTCCCACAACCCTTGACTATTGGTCATGCTAGCTAGAGCTGATGGGACTTGAAGTCAAACAACATTTGGAGGAAACCATGTTGGCTACCCCTGAAACAGAAGACAGTAGAGCTCCATATGATAATGCAAAATAAAACAATACCCAGCAATGGAAAGAACACCAAACGAAAGTTAATCTTGTAATAATTCTCCTTTATCTAAGGAGAATTATGCCACCGTGCATGGGATTGGAGGAGATGGCCTCCAATTATTTTCCAGTAATGTTATTCTATAACGAAGTGTTTTCATAAGAAACGTACTGTTGATGCAAGCATTGATCCTCCAAACCAGACTGCATAGCGCTGCATATGGTGACTTATCACTTGAACTTCAACAGGTTTGGGCTGAAAAAGCAAACACAACCAGCAGTTCAGTATCATCAAAACACAGCATGACCTTGATTAACTGAACCTGGTCAGAGCAGCAACTGTACCTTGATCCCAGATAGTTGCTATGAGAGGAGGGAAGGAGAATTCTGAATGTCCAGCTATGCAGAGACAAACAGATATACTGAGGCTGGTACAGATTACTTATCCAGCATTCATGCAGCTTGCCCTGTCTGGATCCCACACCTGTTGCAAGTCCCCACCGCTTCAAACAGCTTCTACCTCCTCTCCTGCATAGTTGGCACATGCCAGATCCAGGCACCTCAAAACACATTCTCAGCTCCCCATCCACACATCCCACCTTCTTGCAAAAGGATGCTAGAATCACAGCATTGTCATCTACAGTCCAGAGGGAAATGGACAAGGAAATGCAGAAGTATATCCCGGCTTCTATCATTTCTACACTGTGGTTCCATTTTGCAGGTCTAAATTTTCATATCAGCACCTCCAACTGCTGAAGAGACCTAGTTCGGTTATGAACCAGCAACACCTTGCAGTTGTGGCAAAATGGAAACTCTAGAGAACAGATATTGGAGGAATGAGCTAAAATGCTTGGGGGGGCAAAGAAGCAAAGCTATATCTGGCACTGCTGAATATATATGATGGTCAGAAACAAGATCCTCCATATAAAAAAAAATATATGTTTATCCTGGTGATGGCGAATAATTGGTGGTATAAGGGAGGAAGTATAATGGAATGGCGTAGTTATATGAGGCATGTTGATTTCTTAGAGAAATTAACAAAGTGCAAACACTAAGGAGGATGACTTTACAGGTAATTGGTATGGCTTTTTGCAGCAGGCTTGAAATTCTTCGAATATAGCACTTATTTTGGTAACCCATGGCACACTGTGGAGAGACCCATGAGGATGAGTGGACTATTAGTTATTGGATATGGGGACTATTTTTGTATTTCTTTGTATTATTGTATTTATCATGTTATTGTTCTGTTTTTGTTGTTCAAACAATAAAAATGTTTCCAGAAAAGAAAAGAAAAGAAAATTCTAGAGGCCTTCTGAATGTTGCGATTCCTTTGGATTGGGAAAAATCCAGAAACAGTCAGAAGCAGTGCTCATCACATCACCTCCTCAAGTGCTAGAGCCAGTTAAAGCCATCTCCCCTTTGCTGCAGCATCTCAGGTCTGGGCTTTGGCTTCACTAGATGCTTTTAGTACTCTAGTAAAAATGTCATCTGATTTAAAGGCCTCATTAACAGAGCTACATGTGCACTTGCTTTGCTCATTCAGGCATTTAATAGACAGTAAAACCCGTTTACCTTTATCCGACCACCACTGAGCTCTTCGCTGGTTTTCAGTCGAGCATCTACGACCCTCTTCAAGTCTCTCTGCAGCCGGCGCCCAAAATCCCTGAACATCGTGGATCCTCCTGAAAGAACCACATTCTATAGGGCAAAGAAATGGAACAGTTTTTGCCCTTTAGGCTATATGACCCAGGAGCAGCACTGAGCACATGGCAATTCTGAGATAAAGCGCCATGTGCACGGCCACTGGAGGAAGAACAGGACACAAATATGCTAAAGCCACGTTACATTTGGTCATTCGGAAAACTGATCATGCCAGTGACCATAAGCCACTGTGTAGCCATAAGCAGACAACCAGCTTACCAAGCTAGCAACTATAAAATGCTGCAAGTTTACAATGCGCTCAAGGCTGTTTTGGGGTTATGTAAATCTGCCCTTAGCCTTAACAACACAGAGACACTTTGAAAATAAACACGAAGAAAGGGATTCCAATCCTGAAAGACCTAAGACAGACCTGCCCTGCCTCAATAGGCACAGAAACACATGCAGGGTCAACTAAAAGCAGCAACATTAATGCAACAGCATAGGTGGCTTTTAAAGGTATATAGCAGGACTGAGGGGGTGGTTCAAACTGGCCCATCTAGTCCAGCATCCTGTGCTCACGTTGACCAACCCACCAGCAGGACCGAAGCACAAGAGCAATCTCCCCTCCTGAAGTTTCCAGCAACTGGTATACAAAAGAAATTCCACCTCCAAGGTCCCTGGAGGCAGAGCATAGCCTCTATCATGGCTTGTAGTCATTGACAGAATTACCCTCAAGTAATTGGTATAATCCTTTGTTAAAAGCCATCCAAGTCGGTGGCCATTACTGCCTCTTGTTGGCTTATCTCATACATGGGGTGATTTGCGCTCAGGAACGGCCTCAGTCCTGTATACCTGAAGGAGCGTCTCCACCCCCATCTTTCAGCCTGGACACTGAGGTCCAGCTCTGAGGGCCTTCTGGCAGTTCCCTCGCTGCAAGAACTGAGGTTACAGGGAACCAGGCAGAGGGCCTTCTCAGTAGTGGCGCCTGCCCTGTGGAATGCCCTCCCAGCAGATGTCAAGGCAATAAACAACTATTTTACTTTTAAAAGACAACTGAAGGCAGCCCTGTTTAGGGAAGTTTTTAATGTTTTATGCTGTATTGTTTTTAATATTCGGTTGGAAGCCGCCCAGAGTGGCTGGGGGAACCTAGCCAGATGGGCGGGGTATAAATAATAAATTATTATTATTACGAAGGAAATTAACCTCTTCCTCCATGCCCAGTTCTTCCAAAACTTTGTTTATGTATCTTGAAGTCTTGTATCTTCTGCATGTTTTCCTTATTCTTAAAATACATATGACTGGGGGAGAGAGGAAGGCACTTGGGTCTCCCATAGCAACAGCCTATATCTTCTTGGACAGACTCTGACTTTTGAGTGCCATGAGTCTTAGTGGCATTTTTTTTAAGTGCTCTAAAAAGTACAGAATGTATAAGTATTGTGACCTAATGATGAGAGTCTGTCTGCACCTGAATCTTCATTATTCCTCACTCTCTCCCTTGTGCTGACCCACTTTCATATAAGCAAAAGAAGTTGAGCTACCCTGCTATCACCTTGCATGCTGCAATCTATATTCTGCAGTTTTCACTGTGCTGCACAAGAACATTCAAGTAAGTATAGTCCTACCATGAACCAAGGGCAGCTTCTGAAAATAAACTCCAGTTGTAATGAAAAGAAATACCATATTTAATTATTAGGCAGTGCAGCCAGGTATGTCATGTTGATCAGACAGTGCCACCTATCTATCACGGTCAGCTTTTAAGCTAACATCTTTGAACAGCCTTAATGGTTTGAAGGCATTTCTTTAATCAGCCTTCACAGCTTAGGACCTTTGTTTTTATCCAGCAGACAGTAGGGCTGTGTGATAAATCGCTGTATCATTGAATACCGGTACTGAAATAACATCATGGTAAGTGTTTCAATAAGGCAATATACCAGTGACTAGTAAATCACTTAAACTACTTTTAAAAATAGCTGAAAATATGTTAAATATATTATATGGAAGTTTATTTAAAGTTTTTATTAAATCTACTACTTCCTTGCATTTTAAGACCTTCCATCGCCGCAGGGAGCCTCGTCAAGGTCCTCGGCTGCTGCGGGGAAGCGCGGCACACCCTCCACTGCTGCGGGGAGGTATGGCGGGACACTCTGTTGCCGCTGGGAGACTCAGCAAGGCCCTCTGCTGCCACAGATATATATCACAATATTGATATTGTGATATTTAAAAGTAAAGGGACCCCTGACCATTAGGTCCCGTCGTGACTGACTCTGGGGTTACGGCGCTCATCTCGCTTTACTGGCCGAGGGAGCCGGCGTTTGTCTGAAGACAGCTTCCGGGTCATGTGGCCAGCATGACTAAGCCGCTTCTGGAGAACCAGAGCAGCGCACGGAAACGCCGTTTACCTTCCCATTGGAATGGTACCTATTTATCTACTTGCACTTTGATGCGCTTTCGAACAGCTAGGTTGGCAGGAGCAGGGACCAAGCAACGGGAGCTCACCCTGTCGTGGGGATGCGAACCGCGACCTTCTGATCGGCAAGTCCTAGGCTCTGTGGTTTAACCCACAGCGCCACCCACGTCCCCACTGTGATATTTAGCTGGTGATATATCGTAATGTTGAAAACCAGGTATCGCCCAGCCCTAGCAGACTGCCTTTTGTCCAGCAAGACAATAGAGCTATTTAAGTCAAATATATTGATTTCCATCACATTTGGACTTTAGAAAAGGAAAACTTCCCAAAACAGAGGAACTTGGTGAAAAAGGGAAGTTGGCAAAAAGAATAGGAATAAGATCAAATCTCTCCAGAATGGTGTTGGGTGAGTGAGTGTCAAAACAACAACAACAGAAGCTCAGCTAGAATGCATACTGCAGCTCAAGAAAGGTACCACTGAGAGCAAGAGGATGCCAGCATGGCTTATGGGCAGAGTGAAGAAAGCTAGTTGAGGAAAAAAGGCTTCTATCTTCCGAACAAAAAGGAACATAAAACTCTGGCAAAAGAAAAGGAAGCAGGCAATACAGCATTTAAATTAGAAGAGCACACCACGAAAAAAACAAGGCCACCACTAACAAAATGTTTTAATACATTATGAGAAGCTTGAATTCTGCTAGGGAGGTGGCTGGACTTTTGGACAAAAAGGGAATCAAAAGGAGGAAAAGGAGATTGCAGAGAAGCTGAATTCTTCCAATCTGTCTTCACAGTGGAAGACATACAACAGATCCCTGTGCCTGAACTAACTTTCTCAGGAAGGGAATCGGAGGAACTGAGGCAAACGGTTATGACAAGAGACAAAGTTCTAGGCCTTACTGACAAATTGAAATTTGAAAAATCACTGCATCCAAATGGCATCCGCTTGAGAGCTTTTAAGGAACTCAAAGGTGAAAATTGCTGATCTTCTAACAAAAAAAACCAGACACCACCGCTGAGCAGGCCCATCACACATGTCCCATCTGCTGTATTTCAAGCAGTGCAAAGTTACAGAGCATAGATACACCCATGGTGTGTTTCAAAATTGCATCAGTCACCAACTATAATAGTATTTGATCACTTAAATTTCATTTTTAGAAACAACTGATTTTCATCCATATGTTTCCTTTAATGTTCAACCTCCCTTGTTCTATTACAATCAGCTACAATTCCAAAATAAAATACTATTTAAATTGTGCAATTTTAATTTTATTTTTAAAAGGTAAGAAAGTACCCAAAATGAGGGTGATTAGAACCCTGTACGATTGGGGAGAGCTGGAACACTCTGAAATGCAGAATGGAGGTGATCATCTTTGATTACTACCTCACATGGCCAGCCATGTTGAAAAGAGCACAATTTTGTCAGCTGAGTGTAAGAGAACATTGACTGATGCTCAGAAAGCAGCATAACAGGGGAAAATATGGAGCACTCCGGGGAAGATCTAAGTAATTTAATCCCAGTTGGAAAAGATTTAAGAAAGAGAAACCAACGGAAAGACAGAAATTAATAAAAGCAGACTTCAGCTAGGCTCCCTGCTATGGAGAGTGCAGTGGGACTCCCAAATACAGTGTTTAGCATTTAAATTACTAACATACCCTAGAAATACAAAAAGGAAGGAGCCAGCAGGGAAGGAGCAGCACTCTTTGTTATTACCAGAGTGCTAACAATCAATTTCTTCTCAGAGAATCCACATGACAATAAGGCTCCCATTTTCCTTCAGTTCTTTTCTCTCAGGGTTGCCTCCCAGCTTATTTTCCTTCAATTCTTTAGACACATCTAGGGAAGTAGCCAAATAATACCCAGAAACTGGCATCATTAATGCATGAATAGCCAGACAAGCTAAGGGCTGCATCTTCAACCTACACATAATTAGCTTATACAATTCACAAACATCAATGGGGTTAGGTACAGGAGAGAATTCACAAACAAAAGCTAGCTACCAGATTAGGTGGCTTTCAAAACCTATTACAGAAAGATTCATGGAGGGGAGAGGGATCCATCTACAGTCATTACTGAAGCAGAATCTCCACAGACAGTGTATGTCTGAAGTGTCTGCTATTTACTAAGTTTCTCGAAAGGTATGTTTACATGGCAAATGCCAGATCTTGCCACACTAAGGACATTCTGATGAAAGTGAGATGACTATATATATAAAAAAAGAGTCTCATCTAGTATTACCATGCTAATGAATAGCTTGAGAACCAGCCTGTGGAAGTCGAACCTATCAAAAGCACTCATTCTCACTTTATGTCTATACAAACCTTCAGGAACTTTTCACCAACGTTCTTACCTATTTTAAGGGAAATAAATGCAGGAAGTGCCTCTCAAAGTTCAAGTTTTCCCCAATTCCCACCCCTGGCTGCATTTGGATGGTTGTATTGCAGCTTAATAAGCCCAAATATGCATTCCCTGCTCTCCTCTTCCTGCAGGGCACATCAACAGAGTGAGTTCTCCAAGGAACCACAATTTTCTGTTTTATCCAAACAGAAAACTATGGTTATCACCTTTGGAATAAGTCAGGATCTGTGAGATGATTTCTCCCGCCATGTGATCTTTAGATGATGAGTGGTATACGAACGTAATAAACAATAATAACACAATCAACTTCTAGGGATTGCAGTTGGTTAATATTACTTGTACTGCCAATCTATCACACCAGCAAGACATGACCACTGCTCTTAGATATTAAAGGATTAAGGGCTTCTGTCACTTATAAAACTAACTGCTTTCACTCTTTGTTCATTCGTTTTGGGATTTGTACACATAATACGCTTTACAGAGGCTCCTCTATGTCAGAGGTGGCTCAACCATGGTCTTCCAGATGGTGCTGGATTAGAGTTCCCTCCCATCATTGCTGACCACTGGCCATACTGGATGGGGCTGATGGCGTCCAACAATATCTGGGAGACCAAATGAACATGCATTAAGTTACCCCCTCCCCCAAAAAAGACAACCCCCCCCCCCAAACTGTACCTTATATAAAGGGCGCCGAACATCAATGGGGCAGTTCTGTACAACGTCATCAACGACATTTGAAATGGATTCCATAAAGTCTGGATTGGCAAACTAAAAGAAATGTAAGTAGAAACACAGGTGATGGGTTCATTATATGCACACACAAGCAAGGCTGCGGTGAAAAGGCTAAAGAGACATAATTTAGAGGACTATGTTAGCCCATTGCAACAAGAAACGTCTCAGAGTGCTGTGCCACAGTGAAGACTGACAAGGTCCTTTTGCAGACAACAGCCTACTTCATCAGATCCACCCAAAAGACAGCTCAAGTTGACATTGGTAATAGCACCTCCTTACTACTTAAACCTCACACGTGCAGCCACAGTAGTAATTAATACCATTTGTCTACCACCAGTTTGTCCCACAGATAATCAGTGGGTGTTAACTTTCTTTCTTTTTTTCATTTTCATTCACTTTGTTTGTATGTCGTTTTCCACACATGAAAAAATCATGCTCAAAGCAGCTTTCAACAAAGAAAGCAGGAATGCATTAAAAAAACCCAACTCAGTACAAAAACAATTTTGTAATAACACAGGGGAGCAACAAGTAACTTCTGTAATACATTGGCATCAGTGCAGCCACCACAAACTTATCTGCAACAGTTATAAGTTAACATAATATGTTAATATCATATCATGGAAGAAGTGCTTCTTCCATGGCTTATACAACGCTTAATACCCATTCCTAGTTGTTCTCAGTATAGAGACTGCAGGAGATTAAGGGCTAACTCCCTCGTGTTACCAGTGTTACATGGTAAGTTCCCCTAAACTAGAAAGCAAAGAGAACTGTTAATAACAGTTGTGTGTGTACATTTAATTCTAATGCATCTTACTATGATTCAGCCACAAGGTGGTGCTCTCTCACAAGAAGTGCCATTACATTCCTTCCTAATATGACTAGTAGAATTATTACTTTTAATATTATTGTTGTTGTATAGAGTGTTAGAGGAGGGGCAGTACCTCTGGCGGGGGATACATCATGCTCCTTCTGGGGTAGTCTGTCCACCTGTGGCTCTTAGACGCTGTCAGCATGTGACAGTGGACACACACTGGAAACAGCTTTAACTGCCCGGTTAAACCAGGTAAGGGTAGCTGATGGGTCTCAAACCCTCAGTGAGTTAGGGGCCTCCCCTGCATGCAAAGACACACTCCGCTGGATTGAGCAGACAAGACCAATAGTGGGTCTAACAGTCAAGAAGGCAGGTTTCTGCACATACTATAGAGGGAAGTGAGGGGCAGATGGGGGTCGTCAACCTGGGAAGGGAGTCCATCTAGGAGAAGGAAAGCTCTGATCATAACCTCTTATGCCTTGCAGGGTATCTTCAGGAAAAGAAAAGGATAAGGAGTTAACCCTACACAAATCCGGAGTGGAGTCCCTAAGGTGCTTGGATGGCGCCTTGTACGCCTCCTTCCAGCAACTCCTGCAGTCAAGATGGTGCCAAACGCATTGCTTTCTCTGAGAGGAGGGTCTTGTCATCTGGGCAGCCCAGGACCTCCATACACACTGCCCTGGCTTGCGTCCCAGAGAGCTCACTCCAGTGCCACAGCGGCCTGTCTTCACCCCCTGAGGCACACTCCATTGTCTCTCGAGAAAGATGGATGCCAACAGCATGCACTACTACAGCAGACTCTTACCTCTGGATGAAAGAAGATTTCTGGCCCAAGAAACCTTTCATAACCAACATCTATGATAAATTTATTTTTGTTGATTGAATTGATGCCTGTATATTGCTTTATCCACTTGCGTGGATCTGTATCATACTTGGCAAATTCCTTCACTATGTCTGGACAAATATAACAGTACTTTTCCTATGAAGAAATACAAAGATGAAGAAACACAATTATTTTATTGAATTAAAGGGATAGGCCATCTGAATGCAATAAGGTCTCATTCCCAATTAAGTGTACATCTGTGGCCTTAGGCATGCAATTGAGAAGAGACACAGCAGCATCCAAATCAGTAGGAATCTGTCTTAAAAATGCTACAATCAACTGCTTGTGAGCAAATGGCACTCTGTGCTTGTAAAGAAGCACTCTCCTCTCTGGCTGATCTGCAGTCGAAGAGAGAGAATATTCCTTGCAAAACAGCTATATGGGAAACACCAGTGGGAGGGTTTGCCATCTGAACCAAAATTCAGGGTCTCAACCCCTTGACACCCATAATAAGCACAAGTAAAAAAAGTGGAACTGCAGCATATCAGACTGCCTGTTTACTCAAAATATGATCTTTCTATGTCGCCAGGAACATCAGCTCCTGCAGGCAATTATGGCCAGAAGCAATTCCCATGCGTAGCCAATGCAGAGAAAAACATAGCTCACGTGAATTACTTGCAGGCATGCCTGCAATCATCTCATGTGATTGGATAGCCAAGGGGCTTATGCCACTGAAGTTGATGCCCTTCCCTATGACTGGCAAGCGGGACAGATCTAGCTGGCTGGCTTTGCTCTGGTTGTCAATAAGCACCATCTATCCCTTTCTGTTATAAGGAGGAAGAGGACCAGAACTCTGAGGACACCTTGTTGAAACAGAACATATAGAACCATTGCCTCAGAGGAAGAAATGATTGCCAAATAAAAAGTTTGGGGCTTTTGAAATTAGTTTAATAAAAGTCTCAACTCTGCACCAGTTTTGAGTTTCACCTCTTCTTGCTTTCTCAGTCACCGCTACCCTAGTTTCCCTTTCACAACTTATTTTCCCCATCAACCCCCTCCTTTATAGGACACAAAGGGACAAGAGTATGTGCAAGATTACAGGAGATTATCCTTCTTACTTCCTTTCCCCAGGTCCCAAAAACTCTAACTAGCTGTCTATGCATGGCACCGCTGTGCTGCAACAATCACAGAACACAGCCACTAGTAATAAACAACTGAGAAAAGATGGGGCAGGGGGAATAACAAAGTTGTTATATTTCAATGATTCACTGGCAATCTATTTCTGGACAGGCTGGTTAGTTTCACAAAAGTGTTTACCTTTATGGCTTTAGCTGTCTCCAATGATTGTTCGGGTGGAATTCCCACCTCCCTCTCCCTTAGGAGCTGTTGAATGAAATATGTAATATCTCTACCTGCAATGGGGATGTGTTTGATGCAACTGCCAATTACATAACCTTCTGCCTATAGGAGAAGGAGAAAAAGGGGTTATGAGTAGTAGATCCATAGCAACATGTTCAAACAGTTGCTGCTATCTAGCGTTTATAGCGCAAGAGAAGCCATACCTATAGCACAATCCTATACATAAGTCGATTAGACATAAGCCCAATTTAGTTCATTGGGACTGACTCCCAAGTAAGTTGGTATCAAGCAACTACAACCTCTCTTGCAGTTCCTACAACCTCTCTTGCAGGTGACTAACTTTTTTCTCCCTCAACTTGGATTGCACTGGGCCCACAGCAAACCAGTCCCTGAGATGCCACCTGCTACAAGAAGCCACCATTTGGCACTGCTGTCGCCTAAAGCGTAATAGGCAGGCATGCAAAATATGTACTCATGAGAAATGCTCAAGACAACCCATTTGCCAAGTGCATAATATAAACTAGGATGGAAATAAGAAGGGCCCTGGTTCAAGCAAAACAGTTGTGTGAACCAGTTCTTACTTTCATGCTCTAAATGGAAGTTTAGCATCTTCAGGGTCCCAAAAGAATTAAGCTGCAGCGACAGAAGCACAGTTGAAAGCATGCCCTAAGGGAGAAGCAGCTATTTTAATCAACCTGGGCAGGGATCCAAAAAGCTACTTTTCATGCACCCAAAGGTTTGCATGGTCCCAGTGGGGATTTTGCCCTTTTCTTTCATCCACGTCACCACCTTGCCAAACTGCACTAGAAATTACTGCAAAGCACTCTTCTTCATGAGCCTGCCTTTGAAAAGCGTTCAGAAACTACAGCTGGGGCAAAACGAGATGCCCTTTTTGGGCTTCTACAGATGGAGCCTTCTTTGAAGAGCACATTAGTCAAGCTTTGCATAATGTCCTACTCATTTCCAGCTGCAATTCAAAATGCCAGTTATTACCTACGAAGCCCTGAACAGTTTGGGACTAGGATAGTTGAAGGATCACATCCTACCACATGAATCTGCTCCACCACTGCGTTCAACATTCATAGAATCATAGAATCATAGAGTTGGAAGAGACCACAAGGGCCATCAAGTCCAACCCCCTGCCAAGCAGGAAACACCATCAGAGCACTCCTGACATATGGTTGTCAAGCCTCTGCTTAAAGACCTCCAAAGAAGGAGACTCCACCACACTCCTTGGCAGCAAATTCAAGGCCCTTCTCAATGCTTGACACCTTCAAAGGCATGCGGGGGACACAGGACAAGGCTTTTTTGGTTGCAATATCCAGACAATGAAACCCCCACCCTAAGGGAGGGTTTTATTTCTTCAAGCATTTGACATGTGTTGAATTCTTTTTTCCACCTTTCTGTGTTGGTTTCGGTTTAATGTGCTGTCTGCTGCTTTATTTGTCATCTTTATTGTATCTTAGATTTTATGGTATGTGCTATTTAATTTTAAGTGGAAGCTACACTGAGGACTCTTCCAAAGCAGGATATAAATCTTTTAAATGCAATACCACTTGTATTGCATTTTAAACACATACTACTTGTAAATCTGAATGGACTTTCAAAGTGGTTTACAATAAAACAAGAGTTTTTTGTTCAAGAAACAGGAATCAAAATTTCATTTGGGTTCTTTGACTTAATGTATAGATTCTGAGATCCTGGACAACTTAGTTTTTCCTACACAACACCGTTTTTATATGTCCTTATTTTCAAAAGGCAAGCAAGATCTTCACATGCTTCACTTAAAAGCATGGTCTTATTTGAGATCAAATCAGTGTGTGTCTACCACATTCTGATACTAAATGTTAAACGTGTTGATTTAATAAATTCCCTTCCTTATTATTTCAAAAATTCACATAATAATATGCCTGTGCTTTTCAGCTGTGGTAAGAAAAGCACATAATGTTGAATATACATGATGCAGAACACATATACTACTTACCACTGGAATGACATGGGTCACACCATCACCACTGTCAACAACAGTTCCAGTTAAAGTACGTTCCCCAACTTGCCGTGAAGTCCAAGACGCAGCTAAAGCCAACACGGCCTGCACAGGGTAAAAGATTACAACCACCACCATTCAGCAGCCATAAAACCACCACCCAAATTTCCAGCCAAACTGAGAACTAACAGATTAAAAACTAGAAACGTAAGAGCTGATAGGAACTTGAGCTATGAAACAGGAAGCCTTCCGTTCAAATCCAGCTTAAGCCAAGAGTTAGCCTGAGGGTGAAACCAGCCGCCATGATAATTGCATGAATGCAATTCACATGTGCTTTTTTGTTATGTAAATAGAGTGAAAGCCTGAACAGCTAAAACTACTATTTGTAGTTCAAGGAAAGCTTGTATTGGTGGCAACAGTGGCTTCATTCAAGATGTAAGTAGCAACTTTCAAGAAACCAGTTTTTTTCACTGTGATGGGGTGGGAAGAGAAGTGACATCATAAAGAGATGATAAAATGATAGAACCATAGAGTTAGAAAGGACCCCATGGATTATCTAGTCCACGCTTCCTCAACCTTGGCCCTCCAGATGTTTCGAGACTACAATTCCCATCATCCCTGACCACTGGTCCTGCTAGCTAGGGATCATGGGAGTTGTAGGCCAAAAACATCTGGAGGGCCGAGGCTGAGGAAGCCTGATCTAGTCCAACTCCCAGCAATGCAGGATATGCACCCATACAGGGATCAAACCCGTGATCTTGGTATTATCAGCACCACACTCTAACCAACTGAGCTAACCAGCAACTTTCCCTCCTTAGCCCCTCTGCCACAGTCCAGGGTTTGCCCAGGATTCCCCATAGGTGCTATTAACACAACAAACTAACAAAAAAACAAGCATGTGGGGCAGCAGTGGCCCATGCGGCAGTGAAGGTGAGGTACCCCAGACCTCCTGGCTTCCGAACACAGCATGAGGGGAAGGGACAAGGCACAGGGAGCTCAGCATTGTGTGGTGCACCAGAGCTAATCCAGCACTTATATACCTGCCCAGCACCAAGCTCCCTGCACCTTGCATTTCCCTTTCTGGGAAGCACCAGTGCCACGCTGTGTTCAGAAGCCACAAGGACACTGGTGTTGTGGTGGAGCCACAACACAGGCTGCTACTGATGTGGGAAAACATACGGGGATAATAATGCCAGTGTTAAACAGCCTCTTAAAGGGATTGCCAAGACAGCAATATGTTAAGAACTTTAAACATTGGGAAGGAGTTAAGTCTTATCTAAAAGAAATAAAATCTCCATCTGCTATATAAAGCATGCAGGAAGGTTGCCTGCTGGGCCACCTGGGAGAGGAGGGGAGAGAGAGAGAGAGACTTCATATTATGCCACTTCTAAGAAAAGTCTGTCCCAGTACCATTAGATGTAGCTTCTTGAAATGAAAAGTTTAGAGCTTAAAGTGTTTTTATCAATCACTTTCCACAAACATAAGTAAAACAAGAACATCTAGATTGAGTTGTAGCAAAATCAGAGGTAAATAGCAGGAACATAGGTAAAGGTAAAGGGGTCCCTGACCATTAGGTCCAGTCGTGACCGACTCTGGGGTTGCGGCGCTCATCTCGCTTTATTGGCTGAGGGAGCCGGCATTTGTCCGCAGACAGCTTCCGGGTCATGTGGCCAGCATGACTAAGCCGCTTCTGGCGAACCAGAGCAGCACACGGAAACGCCATTTACCTTCCCGCTGGAGCGGTACCTATTTATCTACTTGCACTTTGTGCTTTTGAACTGCTAGGTTGGCAGGAGCTGAGACCAAACAACAGGAGCTCACCCTGTCGCGGGGATTCGAACCGCCAACCTTCTGATTGGGAAGCCCTAGGCCCACAGCGCCACCCGCATCCCTAGCAGGAACATAGCATGCATTAAAATCCACATAAAAAGGTAGTTCATGTACAAAACAGATACAGGAATGCTCTATTGGTCCTGTTCACCTTCAGTTTAACAAATGATCTATTTGCTCCCTTCTCTCCCTCATTAGCTATCCTTTAGCTGGCACTCTTCCTAGCCACATTAGATGGAAAGGTGAGGCCACAGGACCCACTCCACTGGTTCAGCTGAGAGACCCATCGAACCCCATTTGGCTCCTCCTCTCCCCTCAAGTGTTTCCATTTAAGCTGATCATTATAAAAACATCATAATTTTAAGAACTGGTGCTTGAGTTTGCTTGCTCATCTTCCCTCCTCATTCCTTTGATTTTCCATCCTTTAAATTGCAAACCTACAGGCTGCAAATATATCATTTCTCACTTATTGTTTGTAAGGTGCTTTTTGTAAGAAGCCTTTTTGGCTGAACAATAGATAAAAAAGCACCAAATAAGTAAATATGGATTTCATCACATCTAACAAAAGTTTTCACCTCCAAATTAAAGCAACCGTCACACTCTAAAAACCCTTAATTTAGGTAATACGCGCAGAGATGTCCATACTTTATTCTGCGAAGATATTGTTCACTGTTAGAGAGATTCACTGTTTACCTGAACCGCAATGTAAAGTCCTGGCACGTTAAAAGATTCGAACATGATTTCCGCGAGGTATTCTCTGTTCTCAGGAGTATTCAGTGGTGGCTCAGTCTGTTTTTAAAAGATATTATTAAATTATAAAAGCATAAAACACATTTTATTAAACTTGGAATTGACACTGTGTGTGTGTGTTTAGCAGTGCTGTTTTTATAAAGATATGTGAATCTAAGACAGCCTTCCCCAACCTGGTGCCTTCTAGATGTTTGTACTGCAATGCTATTCAGCCCCATCAGGGACAATGCAGTCCAAAACATCCACAGGGGAGAAGATGAGGAATACTGACCTAAGAGAACATGGGACTAACTATTCCCCAGTTTTTAAAAAAGTTGTAAAACATACATTTAAGAATGGCAAACCTTTGGCCTGTTCCTCTTACCATCAAGAAGTAGTGATCTTCTGGTTCAGCTCGAAGATATTTAAAAATAACCTGCTCCATGAATCTTTCCATAAGATCCCAGTCTTCCACAATACCATGTCGTATAGGCCACTGAAGCAAAGGTAAATGGAAAAATATCACACTACTGAAAAGCATGTCCCTTTTGCATAAAATGAGTAGGTTTATATTCTGTTGTCTCAATCCAGCAGACACGCTGTACACAAGGAACTCATTATGAGCAGGGCCCAATTGGCTTCCAAATAAGAAAAACAAGGCATGCCTGACACTGAAATGCTGAAGGGAAGAGTCCCTTTGCATGCCATGTTCTGTGTACACATCATCATTCAATGGCTTTCAGTTGGCAAATAATATGAAACTGTCAAGGCAGTGTGTGCTCTGACCTTGCCATGCCCTACATACACCAAGTGAGAGCGCTCTCAAAGTCCTTTGCAATACCTTAACTCAGACAGCAGTCATAAAGGCAACAGTACCAGGACGGGAGACAGGAGACGCAGCATGGGAAGGGAAGAACCCTTGCAATGCTTGGCCTCTGCCTGATCAGGAGAAAGCCAACATAAACTTGAACAAAACATGTAGACACAGTGCCATGGCTTATGGAGTCACATATGCAAGGAGCTTGCAGTCTAGGTTGCAACAGCAGGAGAGAGAAGAGAGAAGTAAAGAGAAAGGCAAGGGTAACAGGGGACAAATACATATGTACACATAACCTTGATTGAAATGAAAAGGAAGTAAGGACTAAGGGTTAAGCTAAAGACTTCACAGGTTTTAAAGAGAGATTTGAAGGAAAGAGGCACCAAGTACTGGGAAGGGCTTCAAGCATATAGGGCAGCAAAAGAGGAAGAGTGGAGGTAATTAAAGGAGCAAGATACTTTTGCGTGGTAAAGGATAATCAAATCAGAACTCTCAAATCCCCAATTCTTCTCTGTGCATTGGTCATACCCTCTGTGCATTGGTCATACACTCTGAGGTTGCTACATCTTAACAACACATCCATAAAAGAAGTATTGTGGAATCAGATTGGTTAAAAACATGTGTCCTCACTAAACTGAACTGCGCTACATCTTGCAACAGCCTACAGAGCTACATCTTGCAAGAGCAAAGATCAGCCTACCCCACACCTTCTTTCTTCCTTTCTTTTCTTTCTTTCTTTCTTTTGTTTGAAGGGTGCTTCATTTTTTACTCCAGCCTTACCTTTGTAGCATAGGTAGGTTTATCTACGGCTTCATCTCCAATGAAAAAGTCTAGATCATCAATGCCTTGGGTAAGCCTCCTCTGTGCTTGGTCACCAACTTTTGCCGATTCTCTTATTGCAATACCTACATTAAAAGAATTACAAGGCGCCATCCCATTAACACCACCCTTTTCTAAACTCTAAAATCCTAGCCAAATATGTACAATTTCACAGCCAGGTGGCATCTGCAATTCAGCATATAAATGGACTGGAAGATTATTCAAGTTGTATCCATGGTGCCAGGTAAAGAGGAAGTCCCTTGTCTGCTAAGGCAGATCCCTGGCAGCAACACAATGGAGATAGGCAGGAAACAGGACTTGTCATAGCAACCAGAAACTGGTCTAATGAGGGCTGGACCTGGCAAAGAAGGAAAGCAAGCTTTTCTCTTCAGTTATCCACTAGCCAAGCACAGTAGTGTAGTAAATACCATTTCTCAAAAAAGAGCAAAATGTACTCCACCCAAAGAAAGCTGAGCTAGAGAGCTGAAAAGCAGTCGCCTCTCTTCATCAATCAGCACATATTTTATAACGAAGAGTAAAAATTACTTACATGATGGGATAATGAATTGTGGTTCTGTATTCCCTGCATAACCCAGTTTTGTATACCTAAAATAAGAAAGTGAACCAGTCTTCAAATGCGTATTGTGGAACAACAAAGCTGCTGTTATACAAATGTGCTACACAAAATACTGTATAATTAGTGACTCACACAACACTTAGTGTTTGGACTAGCCTTGTGTTTTAACAACTCGCTTGGTAGCCAAAGGTGATGAGGTATATTCCCTGAAAGTCTGTAAGTTGGCTGGCAAAGCAAGGATAGGTCCCTTCAACCAGGTAAAAACCAGTAACCATTTCACCAGGCTACAGTTTTAACCCTGTTCTTCAAGAGACAATCTGAGGACCTCATCAAGGACCGCTATGCCTCTCATAAAATGCTAGTAAAATTGAATTGCCATGTCATGAAATAATGCATGTCTAAAAAGTGTGTCACCAACATGTAAAGTTTGGAAAGCTCTGGTCTATGGTGTACTCGGGGCAGCATCAGGGCCAACTTGAGGGCCAGGGAAGGGGAGCTGCTGTTGTCTATAGAAACTCTCTCTCTCCAGGGTCTCTGTCAAGTTGTGGGGGGATCTAGACTGTGTGTTTCTGACACTGGGCAATCAGGACAGATTAGAGATTCTGCTGGTTTACCACCCACCTCGCTGCCCAGCAGTCTCCCAACCTGAGCTGACAGAGCTGGTCTTGGAGGCAGTACTGAGGACTCACAGACTGCTGGTTTGGGGGGACTTCAACATCCATGCTGAAGCGACTGGTCCTGAGGTGGCTTAGGACTTCATGGCTTCCATGATAACCATGGGGCTGTACTGATATGTCTCTTGCTCAATGCAAGGCACACTCTAGAGTGACCTTGTTTTCTCAACAGGGCAGGAAGAGGGTGGTCTGAAAGTGGGGGAATCATGCCAATCCTGGTCCAACTGCACTGGCTGCCAATTCATTTCCAGGCCCAATTGAAAGTGCTGGTTTTGACTTATAAGGCCTTAAATGGCTCAGGAACACAACACCTCAAGGACTGCCTCTCCTCATAGGAACCGACCCAGACCTTGCCATCATCATCTGAGGCCCTCCTTCACATGCCTCTTCCATGAGAGGTCTGGAGGGCGACAACATGAGAATGGGCCTTTTCTGCAGTGGCCCCCTGCTTGTGGAATGCTCTCCCAAGGGCGCCAGGCAATCATTCCTCTTCTCCCAGGCCTTTGGTTAATTAAACAATTATGTGGAGTGGGCATTATTTTTTCTTTTTATATTGCAAACCACCTTGTGATCTTCAGATGAAAGACAGCATAGAAAACGAATAAATAACAATGATAATATACCACCACTTTTAGAAGTTGTATTAATTTACAGCAGAGTCCTGAGCATGCTTTCCTAGAAATAAGTCCCACCAATTCCAGTGGGACTTGTTCCCCAGGCATGTATGTTTAGGGGCACACCCTTAATCCAAATTCAGCAAGGCCTCAACACTACAAATTTATAAGGCTCCCAAGGAGACCTTACACTGCTGAAACTAACAGTTAATATGAAATGCAGTTTGACTTCAACATCAAGGCACATGTCATTCCAAACAATCTTAATATAGATCATTCTGACCATGTGAAATCAGGGGCATGTAAACTGATCGCTAGGGAAACTTGTCAGAGAGAGAGATGATTTATACAACTGAAAGAGGAGCAGAACCTGGCAGACAGTGCGTTTAGGTAGAAGAAATGAAGTAAAATAAAAAATTAAAATCATGGCCAGGGAATGAGATACAGGATGAGTGGTTATTAATCAAAGGATCAAGCAATTGCTGAAACCATTTTGGGTTCTACTAATGAAACACATGCCTGCAATCTAAAGGGCTCACATCTGAAGACTGCTTAGTTGGGGTGTCTAGAGGGCACTATCTTATTATATCCAGTGCTAGCTAATATGTATATGAAGCCACTGGGAGTGGCCGTTAGGAATTTTTGGGCCAGGGGCCATCCATATGCTGATAACACTCAGCTTTATTTCTCCGTAACATCTTGAGTTGGGAGAGGCCATGAAGTCCCTGGACAGGTGCCTGGAAGCATTGGCAGGATAGATTTGAGAAAACAAGCTGAGCTTGAATGCTGGCAAAATGGAGCCACTATGGGTGAGTGGTTTCCATGTCTGAGACACTGGTCAACTCTCTACCCTGGGTGGGATTACACTCCCCCTGAAGGGCTAGGTTTACACTCTGGGTGTGCTTCTGGATCAATCTTTGTCACTGGAGGCCCAAGAAGCCTCAGTGGCTAGAAACACCTTTTACCAGCTGCGCCTGGTACAACTATAGCTGCTCCTGGCCCAGGAAAGCTTGGCTACAGTAGTTCATGCACAGGTTACTGCAAGTCTGGATTACTGCAATGTTCTCTATGTGGGGCATCCCTTGCGCTTGATCCGGAAGCTTCAATTAGTGCTGCAACACAATTGCTGGCAAGAGTGAAACCCTTTCAGCAAGTAATTATCTTTGCTCAAAGACCAGAAACTGGTTGCTGATTTGCTACCAGACCAAGTACAAGGTGTTGTATTTTTTATTATTTAATTGCTTGTTTTATTTATTTAATATAATTTATACTCCACTTGATTTTTGCAAAAAACCCAACAAAAACAAAACACTTCCTAGTGGTTTACAAGAGATAAAACAGTAAAATCAAGCCCTTAACAGCTTGGGGCCAGTTTACTTGTGAGATCACCTTACCCCATATGTGCCTATTCAACCACTAATCTGTGGAAATGGCACTGTTATAGGTCCCACATAATACAGTACTTGTTCTACATATATAAGAAATCAATAATTTAGTGTGGCAGCACTCAGTGTCAACATACAAATGCTTACAATAATGATATGCTTATTTCCAGAACTAGAAAAATTTCAGGCACATAGTTTTTTGCGCAATTTGACATTTTTCAAACTAAACTCATTTTGTCCTATAAAAATTTTACACAAATGCTCAAATTATGGGGAGGCATTTTAATGGCATCTTGAAAACACCTGTTAGGTTTATCCACTAATTGCTTTTTATAGCTCAGTCGGTAGAGCATGAGGCTCTTAATCTCAGGGTTGTGGGTTTGAGCCCCATGTTGGGCAAAAGATTATTGCATTGGAGGGGTTGGACTAAATGACCCTCATGGCTCCTTCCAACTCTACAATTCTATGAGATCTCTGACTGCCCCCTCCAAGCAAAATGTTAGCTAATCCACGGCCTTGCTGTAGCCTGTGTCTCCTCTGCTCTCCGTGTGATTTTAACATTAGCCAAATACCAAGGAGAGCACCTTCTCCACTGTGCAATCTCCATGGTCCATCAAGGAGGCCTGCTTTGTACCAAGCAGAGACAGAAGGGCAGACAGAAAGGCATTTTTAGTTACTCCCCCACTTATGGAACTTTCCCACTTGCCACATCCAAACCAGCATTTGTTTTTATTTTATTTTTTATCAATATTCTCTCTATTGGGGCTGCTTTCCGGTGAGCAGGTTTAAATAAGCAGATAGATTAGAATTTTTACTTTTCTACATATTCTGAACTTCCAGCATAGAGCAGACCATAAAACCGAAACAAATGGATCTTCCAAATCATTTGAAGAAGGAAAGAGGGGGCGAAAAAGATTTCAGAGAAGAACTCATTTTCATTTCCTAAATTAACAAGAGTGTGTGTACATACTACAGATAGCATCTAGAGAGCAAAACTAGTCTCTGGAATTCTACACTAAAGGAAAAAGTCAATTCCACCTGTAAGCACAAAAACCAACATCTGACATCAGAATACTATCACAAATTGTGCAGCTACACTTAATTTGCGTATTTTAAACCAAATGGCCCAGATCACAAGAACCGGACAACTAGCTATGTGTGTCCAGCAGGGCTTTGGACTCATGTTTCTCAAACCCTGGTCCCCCACTTTGCATGGCTAATCTTTCAAAAGGAGCAATGTTTTAAAAGTAGCTTGTGTTGTGTCCTCTAAAAGCCAAGTGCTCTATGGGCACACCCAAGCCCTGAGGAGGCACTAAAAATAGGATAGATCCAAGCCTTTTTCTCCTAGACTTTTACAGTCTGGTTAGAGTCGTTTATTGGTCATGTTACTTAAAAAGGAAAGTCTAAAAATAAATGCAATGGGCTGTGAGAGAGGGGCATTGGAAGAGGCATTGCTGTTTAGAAGCATGGTGCTGAATTTCCAGAGAGGCAGTTGTGCTAGCCTGCTATAACACGAAACAGCAGAGAGTCCTGCAGCACCTTTAAGTCTAACAAATCTATTATGGCATAAGTTTCAATGGATTTCAATGCATGAAGTGCTCCCTAGAGTTGCAGGTATAGTGTTTGTGGTAGGTTGTAAACAATAAGGTCAGAAGGAAATTAAATGCAGAAAAACAACAATTATGTTAACAGTGGTCATCATAAAAACAGTTGTTGTTGATAACACAGGCATCCTGGCATTGGAAATCCAATTTACTGTACACCTAAATTATTTTTATTACACTTTTTCTCGATTCCATCATCATCATCAAACCTTTATTGGCATCACTTCTCGATTCCATATGGATACTGAAGATACAGTCAAAATTAATCATCTTCACAATGTTTTGTGGGTTTCATACTCTCCTGGCAACAGATGGAGACTGACACAGACTCCAGCCTTACTTGCTCAACTAGGACTTGCTTATCTGTGACTGTGACATCAATCATATGTCTTGGCAAGAAAGCACTGGTCAATTGCTATACAGTTCCTACCATATGGCACATGTGCACTTCCTAAGAGAGTTCTATCCAGTGTTACTCAAATTCAGAACAAACCAACAAAAATGAATAGATATGCTTAACTTACATCCAGTGGCGTAGCGTGGGGGGTGCAGGGGGGGCTGGCCGCACCGGGCGCAACATCTGGGGGTTAGGGTTAGGGGGCGCAAATTACTTGCCTTGCCCCGGGTGCTGACAACCAACGCTACGCCACTGCTTACATCCATTAATTATCAAGGATCTGCTCCAAGTAGAAATTTGTTGGCTACAACCCAGGAATCCTGCAATCCAGGAACTTTAGGTGATCAGCCAGCACTTGCCAGAAAGCCTGGAAAGTGGCAAGTCTCCAGCATGCCAGCCAGACGTAAGAGGGGTTTGCCTTCTTGGCAAACTTGGCCAATCATACACTTGCAAAATGTGAAGTGTGTGTGGAGTAAATTGGGCAGGGCTTTCAGGAGGGTGTTGGCAGAATTTGTAGTTGTGGGATTTGGGGATGCATGTGCAAGAGGACTTCAAAAAGAAGGGTTGTAACTTGGGTAAATATTATTCCAAACACAGGAAGAACTACATTGTTGCCCATCTGGTGACCATATACCAAAAAAAAAACCTTTTAACAGTTGTACAGAGAGGTGGTAATTTAAGAAGATCCTCATCTGCAGCGCTAGAAAGTGACAAGCTGCACATGTCCAAGTGCTACAAATAAGAACCATACTAAGTCAAAAATTCCCCTACCCAGTGACTACTGGAATTATCACCCCTCCACCTGTTGCTTCTATGAGTCAGTTCCAGACTAATGTTGCTGCAGTGAGTTCACCTTCACCTTAATATCAATGTAACAACTGCTTCATGATGAATTTAAGTGTCATTTATTTTAATTAGAACCAAGTGTGACTAACAAAGATCCAGCCCTATGGTTTTAACCTTCCCCCACCATTACTTTTCTTTTAAACCAATATGGGTTTAAAAACTTGATTTTTCCCCTTTTACAAGAAAGCTGCAAGAGATTTTGTAAATCAAAGATTTATACAACCTGTAGCATACAACTGCAGGTATGCACATGCATTTCAAAAAGTATTCAATGAATAGATAATTGCAGGCTTATAACACTGATAAATTTCAATGTTATATAGATCAAACCACAATGTGAGAATCAAATGCTTTAGCATGTATGACCAAAAGCTTCTATAGTCACCAATTCTTCTACAGGAGGTTAAGCAAGAAAACAGAGGGTGGGGGACTGGGTGGGGTACAAGGGCTTTACATTCTGGCTTAAGAGATGGATTTTGAAATGAATTTGTGATTTAACCCTGTCATTTGCATAAGGGAAAAGGTGAGGAGAGAGGGAAGGATAACATCATCACACTGTACATATAAAACACTTTCTGTTTCCTACAAGAAACTCCTTCAACAAATTCCAAAAACTGACCAAGTGGTGGGGAGCCTCAACATGCCAGCATATTCTCAACATCTTCTGAATATACAATCAATCATATCAAAATATATGAAATATGAGGTTGGAGGAAGAGTTTAAGAGGTAGGAAAGCTGGCAAAATAATATAACTGGGAGAAAATCCACAAGGGATCAGAAGAACAAAAGGGATGACAGTAGGGCAGAAACCCAACAGAGGCAATCATTTTAAATATGCTAAATTGTGGGTATGGCAGGCAGAGAATCCATGGACTGCGTGCAGAGCTAAGGGTGCCTCAACAGCATGATGAAGGTCAATCCAGGTAATACACCATTAAACGAGAGAACAAAATGAAAGGTGGTTGGTTGCTTTGGAGATAGCCCTGGTTGCTTTGGAGATAGCCTTGGTTCAGGGGAGGGTGTGCTGTTTGTGTAAAACAAGGATGGCACAAATTAGCGAGGCGGGGGTGGGGAGAAGTATTATGAGTTCATTTTGGACACTTTGAAAGCACTGGCAATGGAGGACAAGAGAGCCGGAAGGGCAGAACAGAGAATCCTTAGGATTTCAGATTCCTGGCACCTCTGTTCATAAGAAGGAAACCTAGACAGAGACTTGCTTCTTAAAGCTGCGGAGATGAAGGGGCATTTCTAGAGGAGATAAAGCAAAGCAGCTATTATTATTTTTAAATTTATATACTGCTTACCGAAATGTGCCGAAATGACTTCTTATTAATAGAGGCCACCGAAGGCATCAAGGATAGAAGGGAGAGCGAACGGACCCTGGGGTGCAACCCTTCACTAATCTCTTTCGGCTGTTTTCAAGGAATAAATAGGCCATTAAAACTTGACACTATAGCGGCAGGAAGGGGAGAAGAGGTACCAAGAGAAATCTCACATCCTTTGGGGAAGGGAAGATGCCGGAGGAGGTTAGCCTAACAGCAAGCATCCCTGAGTGGGTGGAAGAGAAAGACGAAAAGGCAAAGCTGGTTGTGGCAAGGATGGAATTTGGGCTGGGGGGTTGACAATGAGAACACGTACCCCCACCCTGGGGAGAAGGGGGTCAAATACTAAGCCGCATCAGTATTTGGGGTAGGGTGGGAAGATGCTGGCAGGGAGAGGATGCCATGGGCAACCCCGAGATGGAAAGAGGAGATCGAGAGGAGAGGCAGCGAGTCTTTTTAGGGGTGAAATAGAACATGCTAAGGAAAGGGGGCTATATATGGAAGGGCCTTGGTGGTGGAAGGAGGGGGCTGGCTCCAGTTCTCCGAGAGAAGGTGCCCATTCTGGGGCGAAGGAGAGGAGGGTTTGGGGGCCGCCGCGCAACGCCTGAGGCCGGCGCCCGCCTTCACTCACCCGGTGCCGCCGTCCACGACGCACGGCGGCAGGTGGCTCGCCATTTTCGGGGAGGCGGAGGGGCCTGGGAAAGCCGCCGCCCACCACCAGCAGCAGCAGCAGCACCAGCCGCCGCCGCCACAGCAACGCTCCGCAGCCGACGAGCCTGACAGCGGCGGCCGCAGCAGCAGCACGCTTGCGCCAAGGCCCACGCTTCTCCCGCCGCCACCCCCCACCCCGCTCCTCCGCACCCGCCGCGGCGGTTTTAAGCGAGGCGACGCAAAAGCCACCCGTCGTCGCCGGCGGCGCCTCCCCCGGCGGCCATTTTGGGATGTGGCCCAGGCTAGGCCTTTGCCCTTGGTGTCAGCGGTCGCCTAGCAACAGGCGCGGCTGAGGCTGGAGGGAGAGGAGAGGGCCGGTGTGCCCGGGGAGAAGCCCAGGGGTGAACAGCGGGGAATGGGCCTCGTGTTGTTGTTATTCTTGTTTATAAATAAAGTGACATTAAAAACGAGAATATATGTAGTATGACCCGTAATACTGGCTGTTCCCCTCTATCTGGGCAACCAAACCAACTGCCATCTTCCCGCTTTTCTCTCTCCACCATGCCTTTCTCCTCTTGTGTCATGGCTTTTAGATTGCAAGCCCGAAAGCAGGGCCTACCTTGTAATAAGAAATTCTAAGGTCTCAAATATATAATAAATATTCATAAATGCACATATGTAAATATATAAACCATGTGTCTGAAACAGTACAGGATAGCAATCCTGAGGCCATTTTAACTCTCCCAATGACCTCAAATATTCCTCTGCAGTAAGGGAGGCATTATCTTTTCACTTACAAATCCTGTCTTAAGGACGTATTTGTGTATGAATAGGGTGAGCCTGTGACTTGGATTCAGGAACTAAAGAATTAATCATCACAAGAAAATGGCCAGGCTGCCCAGGTAATGCAATCAGCAACTATTATCAGGTATCCTGGCAGACAGGATTTCTGCGGTACATACATCTGCACCTCCTATGATGTATGTATGATGATTTTGGGGTGGTCTTTGGCTAAGGGGGTTGGGCAATGTCAAAAGTCCTTAAAGGTTCCCATAGTGCTTTTTTTCAAGGGGGACGCAGGGGGACACATACCCCTAAACAATTTGTGAATCTAAGTTTGGCCTCATTGAGGGGCAGTATTTCAATATAAGTAGGAAAATAAGAGGTCCCCTATATTTTTTTAAGAAAAAAAAGCACTGGGTTCCTGCACACTTTTGTTCAGGGTCTCGCCTTCCTTGGAAGGAGGGGAAGGAACTCTGCTTTGTGATCCTGCCTCCATCCATTTGCCAAGCCCCAATTTTTATATCAATCTTCTTTTTTGTAAGCTGCTCTGAGAGCCTTTTTTGTGGGGGTTGGAGCTGGATATGCTTATTTTAAGAAATAAACAGGAGCAGGGAAGGAGAGTTGGGATCTGGAGGCTTTGGGGCTTTTTCCTCAGGGTTCGTTCTTGCACAGTCCTAACACATGCGGTAAGAAAATGCTATAGGCTGCAACATGCATCTTCTTCACAGGCATGCAGCAATGCCTTCCAGCAACCGTCTAAATGCCAACAAAAAACTCAAGGACATAAACCAGCCTTAAGATGCAGCAAGGCTGTTATTTCAGTGGCTGCTGTTGTGGTGTTTTTCAGGGTCCTTAATGTTGAACAACACATTTTGAAAACACTGATACATATAATAGCATTCAAATATTGCAGCACATGAGAATACTATAACAATAGATTGCCACTTTTTATAGACATTATGTCCAAAGCAATGCTGTACGTTTCTAGGAAACCTTTCTAATATGAAAGGAGTTCTCTTGAGAACATTTTTGCAGCAGTGAGTTGCCATGGGGTGGGGTAGGGATACAGATACAGATTATACAGATATATAGATACAATATAGATGATACTGATTTGTCTTCTGCTGCTTACCTAGGGAAGGTACAGGATCAGGATTTTGTTTCGTTTCATAGGTTGATTTTGATATAAGTATAAAAAAAAACTGCTCCTTTTCCCTTATGGGGTACCCAAGAGCCCATATAGAGTCCCTTTGTAGGTTCTCTATCAGTAGGAGAAAAAATCAGAGACCAACTAGAGAATATTGAGAAGCAAAGCAGCTAGTAAGCCTGAACATTATTGACTGTTGCAACAGCGTGCTCCCCCACACGCAGGAGAGAGGAGGAGGAGGACCACAAAGCACGTGTGCTTGCCCTTATATAGCCATTTTGAAATTCCCTGCCCTGGAGCTCAAGACCACCCCTCCATACATCATGCATACATCACAGGAGAGGTGTAGCCCAAGACCACCCCCACAAACATCATACCTACATCACAGAAATGGCGGTCTACAACAGAAATTTGAATGTTGTTGTTTTTCCCTGTCTGCCAGGTTATCTGATAATGCCTTATCTGATTGCCTTTTCTGGTAGTCTGGCCATTCCTTTCAGATGGTAATTACTTAATTCCTGAGACAATGGGAAGGTTTTTTCATTTCCTCCCTTCTTGCAGAGAAACATTTGGTCAGTTTAGGAGTTAAAATGGCTTCAGGACTGTCTTCCTGTGCTGCTTCAGACATGTGGTTTATATATTTATGTACGTGTTTGCTTGGTACATTTATGACAGTAACTGAATCCATTTCAGTTAAACTCCCTTAGTCACCCTGGTTGATGATGTTCATTGGGAGAAGGATCAAGGGAGCGTGACTGCTCGTTCTTCTTGACCATACTTGACCCTATTACATGAGAGTTACCTTCTGAGGCACCACACGTGCCAGTGATACCATATATACTTGAAGCACAAGTGGAAAAGACAGCAAACACTCTGTTCCGCCCCCACCCCACTCCACCACTCTTTATGATGTTTTTGAGTCTTTTCCATGTTTGGCGCAATGCGCATGTGCGTGGATGCGCACATATTTAACGTGCACAATTGGGGGTTCTTTCCTAAGTAAGGTGGTTCATTTTCTAATGAACCTCCAATTCGAAAACACTTTTAATTCCAAACACACTATCACTTCAAATTCAAATTCTGTCTGATAAGGAATTACCTGGGGCAAATTCCCATGAAAGGTGGTATAAATGCAATTTAATCTTACCTAATCTATCCATCTTTCAGTGTTGTGAAACAACGTGGAAATGTTTATATAAGAGAAATTATGAAGAAAACACAATGAGGATTCAGAGAAATGAAGTCCTTAGGCAGGTAACAAAGGTACGTAATGCTGCCAGATTAAAAGTCTGGCAGCTATTGTTAAGATTTATCAGAAGCATCTCCATGATGCAGCTTTTTAACATCACTTTCCATGATGTTCTTGTTAAGACCTGAAAAGTCTGAAAAAGTGTTGAAGGTGTAGATTTGTGCATGAATACATCCTGCAAGCAGCAACGTCAAATCCTACCATCAGAATAAATTAAATAATGCCCTGGAATTATCTTTCTTAAATCATTTCATTTGTGAAAGCTGTGCAGGAGTAGGAATGTTTGGAAAAGATGGAGAAGGGACATTCAGGCAACAGTAAGGGGACGCGGGTGGTGCTGTGGGTTAAACCACAGAGCCTAGGACTTGCCAATCAGAAGGTCAGCAGTTCGATTCCCCGCGACGGGGTGAGCTCCTGTTGCTCAGTCCCTGCTCCTGCCAACCTAGCAGTTCGAAAGCATGTCAGAGTGCAAGTAGATAAAAAGGTGGGAAGGTAAACGGCGTTTCCATGCGCTGCTCTGGTTCGCCAGAAGCGGCTTAATCATGCTGGCCACATGGCCCGGAGGCTGTACGCCGGCTCCCTCGGCCAATAAAGCGAGATGAGCACCGCAACCCCAGAGTCAGTCACGACTGGACTTAATGGTCAGGGGTCCCTTTACCTTTTTAAGGGGTGTGTGGAGAAAATGGCCACAATAACTTTAAAGAGACCGGCAAATTTCTGTTCTCCAGAGCCAAGCTGCAAACTGAACTATGGGAACTCATAAAGCTTACCTGCTTCCCCAATCTTTTCCACACCCACCCAATGCCTAAAACAAAGCTTTCCAAACTTTTCATGCTAGGGACACACTTTTTAGACATGCATCATTTCAAGACACAGTAATTCAGTTTTACTAGCAAACCGAAGGTTAAACTAACCCCTTTCCAGCCCCGGGAGGAGTGCGGGGAGGGTTTGCGCAACACAGCTACACATTGCAGCGGACACACTAACGTGTCACAACACACAGTTTGAAAAGCTCTGCCCTAAGAGATTCCTGCAAACACCCACACAGAGTGCAAACTAACCTTGGGGAAACTTATCTGTCCTTTCCCACACTCCAGCTTACTCTTAGACCACATAATTGGGTGATAGAGGGGGGGAATGTTTTCTTCTCTTATTGTTTGTCTTTGCTGCTGCTCCTTTGTTGTCTGTCTCCAGTTTAATGTTTGGAGATGCGGAGGTTGGCAGGAGAACCGTAGTTTCCCCACTATTTTGGAAAATTCGCAAGTGAATCTTCTAAGAAGAGCTTTAGATAGCTCACCCATCTCTGGTACTCAGTTTGTGCCAGGAAGCTAGTGGTCTGGGGTGCTCACTCACATCTGCACCACACATCCAGAAAATTCAGTGGGGAACAGATTAATATTAATAATAATTTATAACTTCACAAATATACATGCACATCCAGATGTGCATCAACTGCACATCTGGAACTACCTTACTAGATTGAGACAAAGGCACGTAACCCAACCCAAGTAATGCCACAATCTCTGCATTCATAATTTTCCTTAAATATAACGCAGAGCTATTTACATACTCCTCTTTGGACGCAGGTGGCGCTGTCGGTTAAACCACAGAGCCTAGGACTTGCCGATCAGAAGGTCGGTGGTTCAAATCCCCGCAACGGGGTGAGCTCCCGTTGCTCGGTCCCTGCTCCTGCCAACCTAGCAGTTTGAAAGCACGTTAAAAGTGCAAGCAGATAAATAGGTACTGCTGCGGCGGGAAGGTAAACGGCGTTTCCGTGCGCTGCTCTGGTTCGCCAGAAGCGGCATAGTCATGCTGGCCACATGACCCAGAAGCTGTACGCCAGTTCCCTCAGCCAATAAAGCGAGATGAGCGCCGCAACCCCAGAGTCAGCCACGACTGGACCTAATGGTCAAGGGTCCCTTTACCTTTACCTTTACCTTTGAATCTTTCATAATGCAGTTAGTAAGAGAGCTAGCGGATGGCTACATTTGACCCATAGGTATGTCCAGCGCTGGTGACAGCATTTTATCTAATTTTCTCTGAATTTATAAAATAAATGTAGGGCAGTCAAGTATACTTTATCTTACTAGTGGACGAAAATAAGCAAGTTCATGTCCCCCGCCCCTTTAAGGAAATGCATCAAGCTCTGGAATCTTGGGGAAGAGGGAGGAATTCTCCCTTTTACACAAATTTAGCATTAAAGTTTCTAGACTTTTGTAATCCCGGTGGACCATATGCCACAATATAATATACATTTGATTATTTTCTTTTTGATCTTAACATTTGTAAGCCATAAATAATAGATTGCAAATGGAATTCTGGGAGTGAATTCATTTTAAGCTGCGCACTAAACTATTTGCAAATGTACTTAGGCAACAGTC